CACTGATGGAGTAAGCATTAAAAAAATAATTTACCGCAGATACTTCGACCGTGAATGGCCCAGCATTGAATGAAGGTTGGCCCAATGTGGGTGTTTAAACGGTGATGGTCGCTGCGTTGAATTAATGTTAATGCGACATGGATGTAACAATAGTGATACATTCAATCAACACCTTATCAATAATGATTCAACGCCTTATTCCAGACACGTCGGCGTCTGTCGGGAATGAAAATACCTGATTTTCTTCGATTTCGAACTCCTACTTTTCGTCGCGTAAGCCCAACATGCTATCTGGCGAGCCACTGACACATAACTTCTCGGATAAAACTCGATGGTGGCCCACCAAGTTTCAGTTACAACACTAAGAAAGTATGACGCTGAACCTTCCGAGATGTGAAGTTATGCATGATGCTGGTTTCTTCCTTCACCGAGAGACTCTAGAAGTGCCCACAAATCATTTCCAATAGCTCAAAGGTGGAAAAATAAAATAGAAAATGAACTTTCCCGAGTAGCCCGTAACATTGAACCAACATTGATTAAACGCTGATTGAACGTCTGGATAATGATTCATTGTTAGGTGCTACTAGAGTAACTGATAAAGTCAGGGGGCTTGATATCCTTAAAAACAAATAAATTATTTTTTTTGCCGAATTATTACTTTGGTAGCCCTAGGTGGCCCTTCTGATCCATCGGTCACAGGGCCACTAAACTCGGTCGTCCATGTCCCCCACCCTTAGGGAACAAATATTTAAAGTTTAGGGTTATGGGTTACACCGATCGAGCCCCACAAATACACCTTCGTTCACTAGTAAGGTAAATGCCCAGATTTCAACATGTCCAAGTCAATAGATTAATTATTTATAAAAATAAACAAAATATATATTATTTTATTGAATATCCTTTTGCTAATTTTACGTTTCTATTGAGACAACTCCTCCATGTTTGATGCTCAGGAGAAATTGTCTTTTGTTCTTTTTGCTCGTTTGCTGCGATAGAATATTTGGCCATGCGTAATTTCCGCCACCTTCCTATCTCCCATAAATCGAGCATTTTTCTTGATTGAAAGTATTCTGAGCGATTGACTAAACTATTCAAGGAGCCCTGATGGGGTATATGAAAATAATCCTATCGGTAGACATAAAACACAAGGGATTTCATACTGCCAAAGAATCCATTGAATCAAGGTTGATTTAATGTTGACATTTCCACCGGGAATGGCGCAGCATTGAATCAATGTTTAGTCAATGTGGGTGTATAAACGTTGACAGTTGCCACGTAAAATGAATGTTGATTCAGCATAGAAGTATAAACCTTCAACAGTGATACATTCGATCCACACCAAATCAACGTTGAATCAGTTTTATGTGCTACCTGGGTCTCTGCCTGGTACCTATAATGATGAGGTGTATTGGAAATCCTCAGAAGGTTCATCATTGATGTAGAGAAGCAGGCTGGCAGGATATGTGCTTAAAATATATGTAATTGATGTAATTATGAAATGAAGCATGATGTAAACCACTTTTCAAAAGCTTTCCCTTTCTTTCACCTACCCTCAAAAAGGGCCCTTTCCCTCATTTATTAGTCAATATATTTCTCATGATTTTTCTCGTTCCTCCGAAAGCCCCTCAGGTGTTGCTACACAGGGGAGTGAGTAAAAAGTACACATTCAAAAGGCGAGATTCAGTGTGTTCCACAACAACGAAGAGATGGAGATTCAAAATTGAAGAAGCGATATTGTGTCTAGTGAGAAAGAAACATGCCCAATTTCGTTTCTGTCGACGCTCTCAGAGAGGTTATATTTTGCTGTGCGAGGGATGAATATTGATGATAGGCGTTACCAAAGCCTATTTATGATACAATAATAATCGCGGCCAAACCTACAGTGCCTGGAAAAAGGACAGTTTTTGAATGAAAGGAACAAATGGCAACAACTGACAACAAATAATGTATTCTCAGGACAAACGTGAAAGTTTCCATTGCTCGTTTTGAAAGTGCAAGGATCATATGTTTGTAGACTGCACTTCCAGGTATGGAGATATGCGATGTATATTCTGATATGCAAAATATTGAGAATATTTCATATATATTGTATGACGATATCTTGTTTACCTCGTCCAACTTCCGTTCTTTGAAAGTCATGCGATTTCAAAACTCTCGGTCAAACTAGGTCGTGTAAAAATTGTCAGAAATTACTCACATGAAACAAGAATGGCCCATTCTACAGAAGAGAGAAGAGGCCACACTTCATTAATACGAGCCTTCAGTTCAAGTGACCTAAAAGGCCTGCCTGAGAAGCATAGCGATTTTTTCATGGATCCACGATATTGTTCCTTCACATCATGTCACACGTGTCCCACACGTTAATTCGAAGTATAACATTACAGACTCCATCCAAGAAAATCTGTGGTCTCCCAATTCTCCTCAGTTAAACCCTCTCGACTACAGCACATGGAAAGAATTGAAGGAGATAACGAACAGTTCTTTTACGTCACATAATGAACTTCAGGTTCAAAGAGAGTGAATGTGGCATATTGTCGATGGCAGCCCACAAAGGAAGTGAATCAACCAATTGCGACAGTTTGCGAACAGTAGTGGACTAGAATAGAGGACGCATGAAACATCTCTTTGCTTGGGTTCAGTCACATTATTTTGCACTTGCTTTATTGACATTGCGCGAGAGAGAAGGCGTTACTCGGGTAAAGTACGAATTTCCTTTAAAAAAAACGCACACACATTGACTTTACCTGTGAATATTGTATGTAAAACCCGGTTAAGTGGTACTAGGATTTTAGCTGAAAATTTTCCTAAATATGCAAACATTACTTTTGCTACATAAGTTCATCATCTCTTTTCCCAGAAGACACGGATGAAAGAGAATACCTTTAATATAAAATAAAAAGATATATACATATTTCCTATTTGAAAATACATTTTAAGAAGATGTCATGCGACACTGTCACAAAATAGAATTACTTTCTGTGGCAAGTGTTATAATATTGGGGTGACCAACATTAATTCTAGCTTTCAAACAATCTATAGGATGAACATGAAACCAAATTATCAGGGTTCGCTCGATGAGAGATGTGGGAAAATAAAAGGAAGTGACTTTAACTTGAGGGTTCACCAAACTTCACGTCTGACACTTTTCTTTACACATAGGTACACCTCTAACAAAAGAAAGAGTGCAAGACTTTGGATTATTACATTTTCAGTCACGACCCAAAGGAAATTATTGCAGCCGTTATATGCTGATTCGTCATTCATAATATGGTTCAATAAATGTATCATACTAAATATATTACTTTGGATGTGACGTCCGACCCCATCGGCAGAGCCACACCTTTCTGATAAGGCCTTCTCGCAAAATGACTGGTATCTACGCGGATTTCGTCAGTTGGTGACTTGCTGTTCTGTAGTTCTTTGTACTCTGATCGTCCGAAAACCCACTCATTCGCTCTCTACAGGTGACCTCTCAATACAATCGTGTGTTTTAATTAGGAATACATGGACTCCTATTGAGGAAAGTGAGTTGTTTTGCTTATTGCCCTTTATCCGGCCTAATTGAGGTTTTGTGCTTTCGGATCTTAATGTAGCATCTACATTTCATCTGAAAAATGTGACCTTGTTTCAACTGTATCGTGAATTAGGGGGATATGACCCTTCGATTAATGTGGGCTTTCGTGATATTTCCCCAAACTGGTTTCGCAGGCCTAGGCCTAATTGACGGATGGACTCCCACGCTAGTGCCATTCTCATCAAAATGCGACAAACATTCATAAGTGGTTCGGGAAACTACATGTGCAATGCATGCATGTATCCTGGAAATATGCTCATTGACATTAAACTTATTTTCATGCGACAAATTAAGTATTCCTTATCACTGGCTCGGCTGTTTTGTAATGCTGTCTTTCCCAAACGTTATCCAGATTTGTTTCTAATTAAATATCAATGGTTCCAAGAAACAAGCAAGCATCCTGCTGGAAGTACTTCTAAGTAACGATTGTTACTTAAGGCATAGTTGTTGCAGCATCATGCTAAGGTATAGTTAAGGTGTTATATAATGGAACGTAGCCAGAGTTTTAGATTAACGCTACGTATTATTTTAACTACCAAAATGTTATTATGTAAGGTTGAGTCTAGTTATATGAGCACGGTCTGTATACTTTCCTGATTTTACTTTTTCCCTTAAATCAATCATGAAATTTGACATTTGACATATGAACTCAGTGCTTCCCCAGTCACGTTCTTGCCAAGTTACAGCTTCTCATATATCACCGTTTGATTGAAGCAAAGAGAACTATTTGAAAATATGTTCCCCGTAAAGGTGTTCCCCTATGGCATGTATTACCAAAGTAGAAATTTTCCTGAACTCAACATGCGAATAGCGACTTATATCAGTCATCTACTCACGATCCACTATATATATAAAAGGTTTAATTTTTTCTTTACTCAGCTATCCATCAGGTTCTTCTTTGGCAAGTTAAAACTTTCTAGCGCTCTGTTTTTTTTTTTATATAACTCTGTTTTATAACAAAACCTCTGTTATAACCCTCTGTTTCTGACGAATATAAAAAAGTTGTTCCTCTTGGACTCTTGGAAACCAGTTCCTCTCCACTGGGAATCATGGATTCAAGTATTTTTCACTGTCACCAAAAAAAAAAAAAACTTCGTTTCATTTTTCAAGACGTGGGCATATTCACCTGAATGCAGGGACATTCTTCGCAGGCTTTTTTTGCATGTGTTTCGGTTGATGTATCCTTGATTAGATCCAATCAACATTTTCGAGATATTGACAGAGTCAAATGAAATTTGACAATGCCAGGTTTTAATTTTCAGGGTCATATCTCTCCAAATTACCCTGAAAATAGTTCAATTATGACAAATCTCCATTAAATAGTTTGCAAGCGTTTGTCTATCATGTTATAACATGAAACTCCCTATTACATTGTTGATTCTATTTGGTGCATGAAACGTTGTAAGTGAAATCTGTCAATTTTTTGCAGCCGGGTGATGAGTCGGAGAGAAATTTATTGAACAGGTTCGACAATTTCGGGCGCACGTGTCTGAAATAATTGCGGAGGAGTCGACCGGACGATCACCGCTTTGAAAGGATTTCTTTTCAAGAAGAATTTCATTATCTAGTGGGAAATGGCAAAAATATGTCGGTGAGAGCTTCCATACACTGAAAATTGAGCTTTTCAATGCTCTCATAATTAGTTGCACAGTGAAGTTACATTCATATTTTCTTAATTTCCAACCTCACAAAGTTCTCTTTCTCATCAAGTAGCATATTTCCCTGGGATAAGTCACGGTTTTTCCGCCCTTTGTTCAAGTTGATCTCAAATATTACAGTCAACTGAATTGCAACTTCATGCTTTTAACTGGTCAATCCGGAAGGTGGTCACGCAGCCCCTTTTTCTAGGAACTTCTCACTTCCTCAAATATTACCAACATGGAAAAAATGAACATAGGAAATATGAAAGTACTGATTTGCTAGGAAAAACTGGAGGTATTTTCTTACTCACGTGTTAGCTCTTTCCCTTATATTGTTCTTTCCAATGCCTCCAAGTGAATCCATTCCCCCTCTCGATTTGGAAGAGGCCCGACGAAGCATACGCTGGGAACCTTGATTTGCGAAGTGTTCGTGGGATTCTTGACTTCCTGTCTCCTCCTCTCCTCTTCCTGTTCTTTGGAATGGCTTCAACCATATTCCATTTATTACCATCGGTAAGGAAACCGTTGCCTTTGTTTCATGATGGCCCAGGAAATGGCTGTCAAAGTGATAAACATTGAGAAATTGCATACACCTGCTGTCAGCAAAACTAATTGGAAAATGAAATGTATCTATTGATTGAATACTTCATGAACGTGTTCTTCAGATATCGGCACTTTAGTCTTCGATGGAGAATACGAAATGTGGGTGCTAAGCCAGCGAGACAGGTCAGCTAATAAATACTTTGAATGAATATTTATTATTATTATGGGAATATGTGGTTTTGGAAATCCACGGTTAGGGAAATAACGGCGAGGAGCTTCAATGCCTGTTGCCTAAGAAAACCTTTTCCTCTACTCCAAGAACTTCACACTTCTCAAGCAATAGAGATGCAACACTTATTAACATAAACAAACCATTTTTCAATTTGCAGAATCACCCGGAACCTGATTTATGATGAGGAACCTCTCCTCGGTAAGAATTCCTATGTAGGGTTAGATAATTTTCTCTTATCTTCCTTGTCTCGCGGTTTTAACTTCCCCTGCTGGAGGATATGAATGGGTGGTTTTGGTAGAAGAGACAGTGGTGGAGATGTCGCGGAAGGTGCGGGTGCTGTGCTGGGTCATGACCCATCCGGGGAACCACGAGAGGAAGGCGAAGCACGTGAGGGATACATGGGGGAAGAGATGTGACGTCCTTCTCTTCATGAGCTCAAAGGAAGGTATGATGGATAGTACAGTTTCTTACTTAGTGGAAAATAAAGGTAACTACTTGGAAAATACGGTTCAATTTAGAAGATATTCGAAAATGGAATAGGCTGAGGTCTTGCTAATAAAATTAACTTAATTTCATGAAGAGGTTATCGTTGAGTTAGCGTTTAGCTTGAACTTAGCGTGGTACCCGCGCTGTGGTATCGAAATTCCACCTTGAAGGAGGAGCATGGGGCTCTGAAGTGTTTGGCCTGAGGTGCCCAAGCTCAGACTCTGCTCCACATCCAGTCAGCTTTTCCCTTCGTGCATCCATCTATAAGGGTAGCCCAAATGAAAGTGGGACTGCTGTCGGTTTGACAAATGGTTTAATGGTATCGGTGTGGTAGGTTTACAGGATAAAGAGTGATACATAAGGTCCTCTGGAAACGTTTTGAACATAAGATGAACCATTGAAGAAAATGTTTTTAAAAGTATTTGATCAGGTCAAGCAGAGAACGCACGTTAATAAAGCAACGTGAAACTGGTTCTCTAGGCTATATGGGATACATGAAATTAAATATCTTGAAAGTTCGGCTGCATGTTCCCAGAGCAATCGATGAATTATGAAGACCACACTGCGCGTAAACCATCATTATCCGCTCTTTTGATGCGATCCACGAGTAATTGCCCTAATGCCTGATGATCACAAGCCCTGATGCTTCTCGAACCCAAGTTTTTTCTCTTTCTCTTGAACGAATTTCAGTCGATTACCCTTTGTCTTTACATACACGCAGTCATGATTTTTATAGCTTGGAGAGGGACAGAAGCCCGGTCTGATCGCGAGAAAATATCAGCTATCTTCTCTAAACCCATTCAGAAGTGGTTGACATTCCCCCTAGGCAGATTCAAATGAGAAAAACACCCATCATAATGCAGTCTTATTCACGTGCAATCGTCTGGAGACATGGAGTGAACAATTTAGATCTGGTAACGCTTAAAATATTGTCTTTAAAAACGAGCCTGGTTTGCTTTTTGCAGGGAAAATAAGGAACGTTACATTCGATTCTAATGACACCGTATGCACGTCTGCGTAAAATCCAAATACTTGCAAATATAGTTCCTTCTTTTCAGACTTCAGAAATATTGTTTCTAAGGTTCATACCTCGCATGCGAACCCACGGGAGCGATTAGGTTACAACGTACTTTCGACTTTATGCAATGAATGGATTGAAATCTGCGAAAACTTTCGTGATGTATACGCAGATCCATCCTTACCCGCTGTGGCATTGAAGGTAGAGGAAGGTCGGAAGCATCTGTCAAAGAAATCCCACGAGGCGTTCCGGTACATCTACGAGCATCATCTGGACGACGCGGACTGGTTCCTCAAGGCGGATGATGACACCTACGTCGTCGTGGAGAACCTCCGCTACATGCTCCACGATCGCAATCATTCGGAGGCTGTCTTCTTCGGTTGTCGATTCAAGGGTTTCATGAGCGGGGGATCGGGTGAGGAAGGCTCCATCGAATCCATATTTTATCGCACTTTTTGATAAAAATGAAGGCGTTATCTCTCTATTGAAGGTTATGTGTTGAGCCGAGAAGCGGTGAAGATATTTGTGGAAAAGGCTCTATCAAATCCTAAGCGCTGTCATCTTCGTGGGGCTGCTGAGGATATGTCTATGTGTCTGTTTCTTTTCCTTTCTTGGCACAATCGCGTAATCACGTGTACTTGAAATCTAGAGATCTTATTGTCCTTGCTATGAAAATTGGAAATATGTTTATTCCTTCGCCTGAAGTCAATGTGTGAGCCAGGTTTCTTGATCTCTTCGGAATATGCTAATAAAGAAAGGCACCGAAATAAAATAAGCAAGTGTCTACTATCTGACTTTTGCTATATGCTTAATAAATTATTTATTTAGTTACCTTGAACACCTGAAGATACGGCAATAGTTTTTTCGAAATGGAGGAATAACAGAAATTCCACCCCTGCAGTTGTGTCTTTCTACTTGCTTCGGGTTTCAAGTTTGATTCATGAAAAAAATGCGCATGGCAATTACAGGGAATTTAGGGCGATCTCAGCCTGCAACGCATGCAAATGACATCTCCCTTTTTGTGATTGCAGGGGAATGCCTACATTCAGTGGGAGTGAAGCCGGGAGATTCACGGGACGAGTTGGGACGCTGGCGGTTTTTACCCTTCACCCCGGAAAACCACCTCAACCCCGGCTTCTTCGTGGGCAAGTACAGATGGTTGTGGAAGTACACTTTCTACCCTTACAAAGAGGGACCCGAGTCTTGCTCTGACACAGCCATATCCTTCCATTACGTCCCGCCCAATCTCATGCACGCTCTTGAGTATTTCATCTACCGCCTGCACCCCTTCGGCGTTCAGCATCAGCCTTCGATCTCGGCGGTTGTGGTCAAACCTCTGTCTTGATGTTGTGCGATCGTTAGCGTGAATTTTCAGACATAAATTTTATTCTAATCGCTTCACTTGCAATGAAGTGGCAGTCTCTCTCTCCATAAGACCTCTGTGTGTGTTGTTTTTTTCTGGATTATTAAAATATATAAAAGCGAGCTACAAGGATTCACTTTTAACTTTAGTTTGCTGATTCAGCTCTTCAGATTATAACTTTGCACCTCAATATCAAGAGAAAAAAATGAAATAATCTAATACTAGATGAGTGAGCCAATAATTAACATTTACTGGACTATCAATAAGTAAGTGCTGGTTCCTTTCTCTTGAAAATTTCATTTAAAATGTAAGAAACAAAGCATGAGGAAAAGCTAATATGCTCTGATGCTGGGTATTTTTAGAGTAGCAACACAATATTTAGAATTAAAACTACATTCTTAATGAGTTGTACAAGGTATGACTACCCTACAAGTATTTCACAAGACACACCCACAATGACTCCACATAAATGTATTCCATGATCGACAAAATATAGTGATCCTTTTCACAGGACAATGAATCATGTCTTAAAGTAGGAAACCTTAAAAACTTCTTGAAGGATTGAATTGGAATTGAAGACTGCTTCAAGTATCTCAAGTCAAATGAATCAATAAGCATCAAAGTGGCCTAGACACACATTACACATCATCTCTTATAAGTAGATCAGTTTAACTTTCTAAGAGAGAGACGAGACCTTTAGGCCGATAAAAATCTTGCAAGTTTGTACTTCATCTTCTCACATTCTAAATAAATGGGACTTCAAGAGCTTCCCGTGACATGGCTCTCGAGTTGAAATTCATTTTTCGGGGGTCATTTAGCCTGTTGTGGTCCATAGCATGTTGGATTCTAAACATATTGGATCTTCACGCTTGGATTGGCCTGATTCAATCTGCGAGCAGTTAAGGGTCGAAATTCCAGAGATTTCTCGCAGGCTTCGTGTTGAAAGATTGTGCAATTTTTAATATTTTTCGAATCTCCCCTCTGGCTGAGACTATGGACCTGAGTCTCAATTACCCCTTTTCCGAGGGATGACGTATATTTACGTCGTGGGACTTGGCGTCTGGCTGAGGCTGGAATAATACCGTTGGGATGATGGGCTGGCTCAGTCAATCCCGTGTTCAAGGGGTTAAAGCAGAATATCAATAAATCGAATCCATCAAGGTCAAGGATGACGGGTGGGGGGTCTGTCAGTGCAATCTGAAGCGATGATTGCCAGACTGCATGTACAACAGGAAAGGAACGGCGATCCCGTCGGCATCGCATTCGACTGAATGAGGCCGAGCCATGTCACATCCTTTCCCCCGTCCTTGAGTATTGAATGCCTCCGAGCACGTGCGCTGATGGCACGCGCCGGACGACAGCCTCCGCATGCGAGACGGGGCGGCGGCAGTAAAAATAAAAGGAAAGCCTAGTCGGTCGCTCCAAATACGGCGATCCTCCATCACGGCACGTCGTCTGCCGCCGCGACAACCCACCGACCTCCACCGACTTCCTGGAATCTCCTTTCCCAGCGAGTGAGCCAGATCGTTCTGACGTGAAAGATGAAGATCTGGATGGCAAAGCGGCTGCTTCCGTTTCTTCTCCTCCTTCCGGGAAGACTGCAACGGGGTTGCCCTGCTGCTCCACCTGCGCTTTCATGTGAGCCGATCGCTTTCAAATACTAATTTCACTTTTTTAAATTTTATTTTAAAATGTTTTAAATTTATTTTTATTTTTTAAATTTATTTTTACATTTTTTAACATTGGTTTTTACATTTTTAAAAATTTGTTCTTACGTTTTTAAAATATTTCTTTTTAAATTAAAAAAATAATATAAAATATTTCCGGGCGAAGTCGATCTCTCATCGAAGAAAACTTGAGGATCATCTTGAGAGTAAAGAGGCTAGCCGTATGATGGATTAATATTATTTTAAGATGTTCCAGATAATATTTGAGAAGGGGAATTTTCTCACGTAATTTTCAATTTGCATCGCATTGCGCTGAAATCGACCCATTCCGTGACATGTTCTCGCCAATTTTATATTGACTGACTCAATGCTAAAAAAAAGGGGGATTTGAGGTCGTTTCTCCTGAGAGATCAACAATTTCGCGAAAAAACGAAAAAAAATCAGAGATCCCAATCGGCAGAGCAATCTATCGTATGTGTCGTAGGGTTTAATGGAATTCCAAATCTCCCAAATCACCCGGATTAGCTGCCAATGCTTCCATCAATTTGTTTACCCCTAGGGAGGAAGAGAATTATCAAGGGGGAAAAAAATTTCAGTCCATTTATAGAAAGAAAAAAAAACGTCAATTAGATTCGAAGCGGAGTCAATTAACAATATACTTCTCTTATTTTGGGAGGTTGCACGGCTTTCCCCCGTGACAGTTGGATGTTACTTTTTTTTTTACACACTGCACCTGTTGGTGCGACAAGACTTGTTGCACTTTGCCCTCAAGGCCGTCTCGCCACTGTCTTCCAGGCTTATTTTTCTTCGTTGGTGGCAGGCGGAATCAGGCGCGGCTAATAAGTTTGATGGATGAGGTTTTGAGCAATAAGGGTTTTTGCCCTCGCCCTGGGAAGGGTTATGAACGTAGCTGGGGGTTGTCAACGCGTGATGCGGATTTTTATGCATTTTCTTCGTGCGAGTGTCCATGGGAGAATTCCAGCAGAATCTGACAACCCTGGTAGCACTCACATGTCGATTCCAGTTAATCACTTTATGGCTACCCGCAATAAAAGTGTTAGGGGGATTCCACATCCGAGAATTTTGGTCGGGAACTTCCTCAGTATTCTTCAGCCTTAAATAATCCATGAACGCAAGCGAAAGGAGAATATTCCTCGGCGGGACAAGGTCATGGAATGTCGGGCGTAATGACCTTGACCCGACCTCGAGAGGATTCCGCTAAACCCGCGGGTTTAGTAGAATCCTATCTCTCCCTTGGGAGATTCCAAATCCCCCTGAATTCCACAAATCCCTACGACATATATACGAGTGCCAGCAGACCATCTGGATCTTGGACACTTGGATCTTTGACACTTGGATCTTGGACACTTTGCGTCACTATTGGGGATGTCGGCACGGGATTTACAGGATGTTCAATTTTCATGGAAATGATTCGTTCTAAATCATGAGCTGTTCTTTTCTTTCATATTCCAAGCCGCCTCGAATTTCGAGTGCGTCAGCAATGCATGATTTAAGGCGATGAACGTGTTCCCAACTGTTGTTTTAGCTGTCACTCCGGTGCCTGACTTCGAAATTGACCTTCAACTACATTCGCATTTCAGGTGCGATGAGATCGTTTTAGGCGCGATACGATATTCGTTTCCCCTCGGTATTTTGTGCGGCGCTTTATCGATATTACTGTACATTTGGAAAAGTTGCGGACTCATGCTTGAGTATTCCTGGGGATACGTTTATTTCTTACAGCAAACACTAGGTAACCAAGGAAAAACGGTTTTGGCTCCCGTATATTTGGAGCGGAAATGCACGAGATGATTTTATCTCATCGCTCAAAACTCGCAGTCGACGAGTACAGATATGAGACATTAGGTTTGGTTTCGTGTTATAATTGACACGAATTTACATCTCTGCAAATACTTGCTAGAAAGGGATTTCGCCAGAGGATCGAACTGAGGTGAGCCAGAGACGCGATGGGGTCCCGTAGAGATTTCAAACAGATATGTCCAAATGCAAAGATCTGGCTTAATTTCGCGATACATTAATTTCGCGATACATTAACTTCGCGATACATTAATTTCGCGATACATTAATTTCGCGATACATTAATTTCGCGATACATTAATTTCGCGATACATTTATTGGCTGGATGTGATGCATCTCTTCGGAATGATGTTGCGATGCATCCATCCTCCCAGTGGCGAGCGCAACGTGCGGCACGTCGAGTTCGGTGCGAGAGGGAGGAGAGGATGCAAGTCGTCAGGGCCCACCGACTTGGCTCGACCGGGTCTGGAACGAGTTCCTGGGCCTCCTCGCGGGAGGACAGAGGCAGGAGGTCGTCGTCAATGGATCCCCGGCAACCAGCTCGGAAGCACCATTCATGGCGTTTCTGAGTTTGGAGTTCCATCCTCCCGGGAGCGCGAAGAGGGGCAGGGGCTTCTGCAGCGCCTCGATCATAGGGGATCAGTGGGTACTCACTGCGGCTCACTGCATCCTGCATAAAAGGTCTGCATGATGTTATTCATTCATGAAACAGCATCGGCTGGAATATTTTACCACTTTAATTATATTTTACTTACTATTTCCCCATTAAGCGTCCTCGCAACGAATGTGACAGTCAATGTGGGGAATGCAAATCGGAAAGCTGGAACCCGCATCGTCGCTGATTCCTTCAAGGTTCATCCCGATTGGAACGGTGAGTTCTCACCTTGATTCGTTGTCTCCAAAATTGCATTATCCGGGTGAAGTCACGAGGTAGTTTTTAGAGTTTGTCGTTACAGATGAGCAAAACGCCGAATTTGTAGTATGTGATTTGTCTTCTTTAATTATAATATTTTGACTAATATTTGATCATATTTGATAATATAATATTTTGATTAAGTTTAATAATAATATTATTCAGAAGTAATACAATTGCAGGGTTTATTTCCTACGCTTCTCGGAACCCGAGCATCAATCCTATACTTCTTTCAGAGTTTTCTCCTACAGGAATTGATCATGAGATAGAGTGACTCGAAGTGTGTTGAATTGGACATTGAGGCAATTCTTAAAAGTTGCCTTTGCCAAAACTAACTTGGAGTCGCACACATGATGATTCACTTGCCAAAAGTATCCGCTGATTATTTTAGATGAAATTGGGTCTCCTTGGACACTAAGGGGTTGTTTTGGGTCGCTCTGCCAGTCAGCGCCAATATGTCAAAACTTGGATTCATGTTGAAGAGTTACATTTTTACATTGGACCAGATTTAGCCATTAACACGACTTAAGCGGCGCTGAACCCAATATAAGCAAGCAACTGAAATTAAGTGAAATAAATTTAAT